CTGCTCCCGGACAGACCCAACAGCTCTGCTCTCTGGAGCAGCGACACCATGCTCAGCTCTCCCGGGTAGACTTGACAGCTCTGCTCTCTGGTGCAGAGGTGCCAGGCTCCGCTCTCCCAGGCAGCTCCGACCCAGGATGGACGGAGGCTAGAATCTTCCCAGTAAGTGCACCTTGGGGTGCTTACACACATCATTAGAAATGGGCTAGTCCAGGTGCGAGAATTAGCCTGTAAGGGCTAGAGTTCATGGGCCAAGCGGTGTTTAAATGAATACAGTTTGTGTGTTGTTATTTCGGGCATGAGCTAGCAGGTGGCCGGGGTGCTGGGGACGCAGCCCCGCTGCTCCTATTTCAACAGAACACCAGTGAAATTCTGTTGTCTTCGAAATGTATTGCTTTCAGGAATAATGTCAGTTTGGATGCAGGAATCTCTTTGATATAAAATGTATACTGAAAAATAATCTGTATACTTGAACCAATTTTACTAGATAATGGAAATACACACACACACAGAGAGAGAGAGAGAGAGAGAGAGAGAGAGAGAGAGAGAGAGAGAGAGAGCATGCCTTTACCTAGCCTGTAATGTGCCCTTCTAGAAAGGTGTAACTTCTACTCTGTAGCAATCTGTCAATCTTTGAGGCTGAATAACATAATTACATAATTTGCCACAAACACTTGCCAAAGAAACCACAATCTATTACTGATTTATGGTAATTAATTAAATATTCTGTCTTAGAACAAGGCTCAGTTCAAACAAAGCCTGAATCTACAAGCTGTACACATGCTGCACACATGTGTAAGGCATGGCTGTGAATTCTGTCATAGACCCATCACTGTGAATCTGATGTGAACCTTGCCGTCTAATCTGGTGAAGACACCAAGAGGCAGGAGATGCCTTTATTCATTTCAGAATTAGAATTGTGGATGACACAGTGCTAACAGTTTTTAGAAGTTTGGCCTCGGGGCACTGTTTTATTTTATCTAGTGATAAATCTCTCTTACAGAGAATGTGACAGATTTTCATTTAAAATTTATACTTTTGTCACCACCACATATTTGAAGTACATTATTCATGGTTCTTCTTGCTAGCCTCCTTTGCTTATATAGACTGATATTCTGTATAGTACAACTAGAGATTCTCCAGTTGTTTCTAGTGCAGTGAGAGCTACCCTGAAAGGATAAATTGACCTTGAGCTGCCACTCAAGAAATTAATGCAGTTGGTGATGTCAGGGGATAGGAGTGGATTATAGAAGGGACAATGTGCAGATAAAAGCTCAATCTTTTTTCCTTTTCTTATTGATTTTTATTGAGCTCTATATTTTTGTCTGCTCCCCTCCCTGCCTCTCCCCTCCCCTTCAACCCTTTCCCAAGGTCCCCATGCTTCCAATTTACTCAAGAGATCTTGTCTTTTTCTACTTCCCATGTAGATTAGATCTATGCATATCTCTCTTAGGGTCTTCATTGTTGTCTAAGTTCTCTGGGATTATTAATTGTATACTGGTTTTCTTTGCTTTATGTTTAAAAACCACTTAGGAATGAGTACATGTGATAATTGTCTTTATGAAAATTATGCTTTCTAGCTCCATCTATTTGCCTGAAAAATTTAAGATGTTATTTTTTCTGCTGTGTAGTACTTCATTGTGTAAATGTAAAAAATATGAATCTTTAAGAAAAAATTGTGTGAGGTCTTGATGCTCTCTTGCTATAGGACAGCATGATAGAACTGGGGGAGAGACTAGGAAAGTAATTTCAATGAACTTTACCAAAAAACGCACAGTTCATTTAATTCTATTCATTTGCCTTCAAATTTCCTGGTATTCCTCTTTTTAACCACTGAGTAATATTTTATTGTGCAAATAATCATATTTTCTCTATCTATTTCTCAGTTGGGGTACATCAAAGTTGTTTCCAGGTTCTGACTATTACAAGCAAAGCTTCTATGAACATAGTTGAGCAAGTGTCCTTGTGGCACGATTGGTACAACTAAATGTTCTTTGGGTATATGTTTAAGGGTGGTATAACCGAGGCTTGTTTTAGGTTGTTTCCAAGTTTTCTCAGAAACAACCCAAATGATTTCCACAGTGATTGTACAAGTTTGCACTCTCATCAGCACTGGAGGAGTGTAGTCGGAGACTATTCATTCATTTCCCTGCCACCCAGACTCAGATAATCACACAGAAACCATATTAATTACAACTTTGTTTGGCCTATTAGCTCAGGCCTTTTATTAATTAACTCCTTCATCTTACATTAACTCATGTCTATTAATCTATGTATTGCCACAAGGCTGTGGCATACTAATAAGGTTCCAGTGAGAAAGACAAACAGGTTATCTACTCACTCACAAGTGGATTTTAGCTGTAAAATAAAGGACAACCATACTACAATCCATAGATCCAGAGAGGCTAGACAACTAGGAGGGTTCGTGGAGGGATATCCAGATCTCCCTGGAAAGGGGAAATAGAAGAGCTTTCATGAATGGACTGAGTGTGAGTCTGAATGGAAACATGAACGATCAGGTTGGGAGGATAGAGAGGGAGAATACTGAAAGAGAGTACTGGAAAAAAGGGGCATTGCAAGGCAGGTAAAAAACTCATGCACGGGAATCTCCCAGAAATCTGAAAGGATGACACCAGGTTAGACCCCCCAGCAATAGAAGATACATAGTCTGATCTGACCATTTCCTCTGACCAGATTGGTGCCTAAGTCAATTGTCATCAGAGAGGCTTCACCCAGCAACTGATGGAAACAGATTCAGACCCACAGCCAAACATTAGGTAAATCTTGGGAAATCTTGTAGAAGAAAGAGAGAAAGGATTATAGGAGTCAGAGGAGTCAAGGACACCATAAGAGAACTCACAGAATCAACTAAACTGAGCTCATAGGTGCTCAGAGAGATGGGACGGACAACTAGGGAGACTGCATGGGACTAACATAGGCCCTCTGCATATGTTATAGTTGTTGATCTTGTTCTCTGGTGGGAATCCTAACAGTGTGAACAGGGGCTGTCTCTGACTATTTTGCAGGCCTTTGGGAATCTTCTCCTCATATTGGATCACCCTAATACATGGGGAGGTGCTTAGTTTGACTGTAATTTGAAATGTCGTGTTTTGTTGATATTCATGAGAGACCTGCCCTTTCCTAAACAGAAAAAGTGGTATAGGACAATTCTATACTCTGTCAATTATGTTTTAAATAAATTCTGATTGGCCATTAGCCAAGCAGGATGTATAGGTGGAACAACCAGACAGGAAGTAGAAGCGTGGAAAGGGGAATAGGAGAATGCTGGGAAGAAGGAAGCCCATTCCTCCCCAGTCCTGCCCAGATTATGGAAGAAGCAGGATGTGACCTGCCCCACTGAAAAAGGTACTGAGCCATGTCGCTAACATAGATAAGAATAATGGATTAATATAAGTTTAAGAGCTAATAAGAAGCCTGAGCTAATGGGCCAATCCATTTATAACTTATGTAGACCTCTGTGTAATTTCTTTGAGAGCTTACTGGCTGTGGGAACTGGGCAGGACAGAAACCCCGACAAGCAGGCCCCTAGTATTACAGAAGAGGAGGAATGGATTGAGGTATGGGAATTGAACGGGTTGGGGGGAAGGATGGTGAGGAGAGGAGGGAGGGGAAACCGTAGTTGGGATGTAAAATAAATTGTTCATTTGCATGTTTGTTTTTAAAATGCACAGAATTTTTGAGTGAAAGGCAATTGTCTACGGATTAGGATATTTTGCGGTGAAGTAATGGACAGAACTTTTCTATGATCCTCAAATATGTAAGTGATAATGAAAGACAGTGAGTGGCATGGCTGTTCGGGCACACAGGAGAGACTTGTCCTATGCAGATAATGGAGATGAGATACACACTCAAGGAGGAGACCACCTGTGTCCTCCACACCTATAGGTTCTTAGACAGCTTGGACTAGCCTTATTTTGGAAGGTGGTATATTGACAATACATAATGATTAAATTGCACAGATCTGTAAAGTGACTATATGACATTAGCACTTTCAATGCTGGAAAGAAACTGGTTGAAAAATGGGTGTTTTTTCTAGAAGGATACGGTGTGGAGTCCTGTGAAACATTTAGAAGTGAATGGAAAGAGCAGAGACACATGGAGTGTTTCATTTACCTTGAGTTCAGAGGGATTAGTGTATGAGGCAGTACTGCATCTGTAATAAAGTAGTATCCTTAAGACTACACACATAATGACCAGATAAGGTGTCCCCTAAAGACATGGCTGGATCATCACTGCTCCACTCTTTGTTTGAGCAGTTTACACAGGTACAAAAAGAACCAGGCTTGCCTTTTCTCCCTTTGTACTTCAAAAACGAAAATACAAAGTAGTGAGTTTTCAGTGAGTCTGGTTTTATTCCATGCTTTTTCAGACCCAGGCCAGCTGGCCTTGGTGAGTTCCCGAAAGAACATCCCCATTGTCTCAGTGTGTGGGTGCACCCCTCGTGGTCCTGAGTTCCTTGCTCTTGCTCTCTTTCCTTCTGCTCCTGATTTGAACCTTGAGATTTCTGTCTGGTGCTCCAATGTGGGTCTCTGTCTCTGTCTCCTTTCATCGCCTGATGATCCTACTGCATGAACTGGCTTTGTGGGAGCCTAGGCAGTTTGGATGCTCACCTTACTAGACCTGGATGGAGGTGGGTGGTCCTTGGACTTCCCACAAGGCCGGGAACCGAACTGCTCTTCGGGCTGATGAGGGAGGGGGACTTGATTGGGGGAGGGGGAGGGAAATGGGAGGCGGTGGCAGGGAGGAGGCAGAAATCCTAAATAAATAAATAAATAATTTAGAAAAAAAAACAAAGTAGTGGGTTTTTAATATGACATTTTTATTTTGGGGTATTTTTATTATACCTTAAGAAGAGAGAGGGGAAAGGAATCAAGAACAGTGATGGGAGTCTAGAAGTTATAGAAACTGGTTCTCTTCTTCCACTCTGTGGATCTTGGGGAACAAACTCAGGATGTTAGGATTGGTGGAAAGTGCCTTTACCCAGTGAGACCTCTCATTGGACAGACATTCTCATTTTCTGTATACACATATTTAAGTTTTGTTCTTATATGCCTCCCTGGTTATACCCAATTCCTCCCCTTTGGAAAGTCTCTCTGCTTTCATGTCATGTAGACCTACTACCTCCTCTTATTCTCTCCCTCACATAAATACTTTTATAATTTCAATTTATAATATGTATGTGTTCATGTATGTATAAGTTTAAATCTAGATCTGTATATGAAGGAAGATAGAATATTTGTCTTTATGAATCTGGAATATTTCACTTAATAAGTAAGTCTATGGAATAGCAACTTCAAAGATTTTAGTTACAACACAAAGAATGGTATATATAGTTGTGTGATATTGTATTTTGAATTTCTGTACTGATTTTCCAGGGGCTGCGTAACTTTGCAGTCCTATCAACTCGGAATAATGTTTCCTCTTTTTCTATATCATCACCAGCATTTTTCTTTTTTATAACAACCACTTTTTTCCTATGGGATGGAATTTCAATTTAATTTTATTTGGATTTATTTGAAGGATGTTTAACACTTTTTCAAATATTGTAAGCTACTTCTGCTTATTCCTTTGATAGTTGTCTATTCAATAATTTTTTATTTATTATGTGGATGACCTTAAAGTGTTAGCAATATTTCCCACTAAATCTTCCAGGTGTCAGGTTTTATATTAAAGTATTTTTCTCTTTAAAATTTAGTTTTGAGAAGAGAAGAGATATGGATATCATTTTCCTCTATGTGTGGATTTTCCAACATCATTTAGAAATATGTTAATGTATTATTTGATACACTCATACATAAACAAACACAAACACACTGTAGTTGCATAATATTTACCGCCTCATCACTCCTCCAACTAACTCCCTTCCATGTCACTTTCCCAGCTTCGTGTCCTATCTTTCTTTTTTTTAATCTTTCCTTTATATGTTGTTTATAACTTACTGAATAACCTACTAATAAGTGCTGCTCATATACTCATGGATGTGGAACCACCCCCAGGAGCATCATTCAACCAGGGTACACATCAAGAAAGACAACGTTCTCACCCTGTCCTGGCCCAGAAACCAACTACAGGTAGTTATTCAGTAAAGGGAAGAGATTAGCGATCCCCTCCTTTGTTTGTGCTAGAATGGTGAATGTCATAGCCTTGTATAGGTCTTCTGAAGGTCACCACAGTTTCCATGAGTTTATGAACAGAAGGACTCAGTCATGTCCTGAAGACACTGTTTAACCCCAGTCCTTTCCAAACTCTTCTTACAATCATCCTGCCCCCCTTCTGAAACATCCCTGAGTCTTGGTTAGGAAGAGAGGTGACACAGATGTTCTATTTATGGCTGAGCACTACGTAGACACCTACTCTCCACACACTGACCAGTTGTGAGTCTCGGTATTAACCATGCCCATTATACAGAGATGCTTCTCTTAGGAAGCCCAAGAGCTGCACTAATCTATGTATATAGAGATCATGCTTTAGAAGGCACTTAGATACTATACACATTAAGCAAAACAAAACTAGTTTCTCCTTCAGAGACTAGCCATGATTCCTGGCCAGATTTGCAGTAACATGCAGGAACTTTCTTCTGTAGAATGGACTTTGAGACTGATCAGAAAATGGTAAATTGTTTCTCCCAATATCCTTTGTTGAAGAGGTTGTCTTTTTTCAAAAGTGTGTTTTCGAAGCATTTTTTAAATTTGGTGGCTATAGCTGTGTGACTTTATTTCTGAGTTCTCAATTCTATTACACAAGACTATTCTGTTTTTGCTAGCATACTGCTCATTATCAAAATGGTGGAATGGTGCCTACTGAAAGTGTGATATTTGGTGACATTATTATTGTTGCCATGAATACTGGATGAAAGGAGAAAGAGGGTGCAGGATGAGAAAAGCACAAAGCAGACAAAAGAGAAGAAAAATGAGAGCTGGAAAGGCGGTCAGCCTCACCTCACCCAAAAGGAGCTATTTCAGAATTGTCGGCCTATCACTCCTAGACTGAAATGCCTACTTATATGAAATCTCCTGTGATTGACACTGGTTGCAGTTAATTTCTGCTGCTTCCTTCCCACCCAGAGCAGCACCTGCTTCCTGAGTTGGCTCCAGGGAGGGTTTGTGCGCTGAGGGGAAGGCACATTTCAGTGCTGTGGACAGGCTGCTGGCACAGAGGTACAGTGCTGAGTCTCCTGCCTCAGAGGACTGGATTTCCAAGCTGCAAGGTGAGTTCGAAGGACACTCAGCTGGGAATCGATTTTTGACCATGTCTATTTGTTGAAGAACTTCTTGATTCTGAAAGCTAATCAAGAATGTAAACTCATTGTTGTTATTCTGTTTATACCAGAACACAACAGGATGCCCCTTTTCAGGGCTACAGCTCATCTTTGCTTTCTGTTCTTTCCCTTTGACCAGATATCTTGGATTCTGGATGACTTTGGCATTCAAAAGGCCTAAAAGAGAAGGAAACAAAAGATGTGAACACAGCCCAAAAAGGACCTTGACAAGGAAAACTACTTGTATCTGGGTTGACAATTGCAAGACAAAGTTTGTTCTTTTGTGTTCATAACTCACCTGCTCCCAGGAGACAAAGGGCTGTGTAGCAGAGGAGCCTTGTAGCCATGGTGGCTTAGAGGGAGGAAAGGGGTGAGGTTTTCTCATTCTTCAGCAGCAGCCTTCCTGTGACGTGACCCCTGTAGGCTCATAATTGTCACTTTCCTAATTCACATTACTTCTCAATGTTGTTCATGGTACTTGAGGGAATCTTTTACCTTAAGACTGCCAACAAACTGGGTGATATTTTTTATGTTTAAATTTATTTTCTAGGTCTAAGGCTGCATTAATTTGGTGGAAAGAGCTTGCCTTGAAGGTATAACTCAACATTGCCAGTAGACTACACAGTAATTTTAAATAGACATCTAGTGTTAAATGGAGAAATATATAAGACAAAAAATAAGAAATATATAAGACATGGCAGTATACCATGTCTCAATAGCCACAATTCCGGGAATATAATAATGTAGAGTGATTATAAAAGTAGGTGTAAAATTTTTGGTATATATATTTCTATTGTTGTCTGAAGATTGACAAAAAATTGGCTTTGTTTCTGGAAGAAGTGGCTATGGAAAACCAGGTAACAGGACACGGATGCATGCACAGAAACATGAAGTGCTCTTCTCACTGTGAATCTAAGGGGAAAATAAAAGTGAAGGGGTTGCATCCAAAATAAAATACCTTCCATGTGGCTTTAAACACATACATGTGACCAGAGTTGGGTATTCCCTGAGAAGTCCCCCATGAGATCATCACAACTTGATTCTGCCTTTAGAGATTAAAATCCAGGCTAAGAAAGACTGAGGCTGATCTTTATCAGGCTGGTGAAATGATACCTGAAGAATCTGTAATCTTTAGCCAGCATCATATCCCTGCTGTGAGTACTGCAGGAAAGGAAAGAGATGCTGGGCACGGCACAGAGAGAAGAACACATTGCAGACCAAAGAAGAAAAGGAAATATGTGATGTGGGAACATCTGGCTCAGGCTGTTTCAAAGCTATCAGCTTGCCGGCCCTTGACTTCTGAACACACTCTGGCTTTTTGAGAATCAGGCTGTAGCTCACACTAGCTCCTGTTAATTTCTGTTACTCATTTTTAACTCACATCATCACCTGATTCCTGGGTTATGTCTGTGACTGGTTTGTGTGATAAACAAAATGCACACTTTAGCACTGTTGACAGACTGCTGCCTCTGGCCTACAGAACCAAATCTCTAGTGTCTGAGGGCTGGATCTCCAGTCTGCAGTCTGCAGGGTGAGTTTGAGGGACATTCTGTGGAGAATCACTCCTTGAAAAGTCTGTTTGATTCTGAAACTGAACAATTTTAATTGTTTTCTTTCTGTTGATACCAACGAACAAATTGTGTTCTTTTCTAGGATTGCACCTCATCTTTTTTTCTGTCCTGTCTCTTTGATCAGATGGCTTGACGTTTGAGTAATGTCAGCATCAAATGAACCCTGAAAGGAGGAAACAGAAGTGGCGAACACAGGAGAGATGCTGACAAAAAGGGATTGGTCCTAGGATTGCAATCTCAAGACAAGGATGGACCTTCTGTGTTCAGGACCTACCTACCTGCTTCAAGGAGATGAACTGTTACATAGTAAAGGAGTCTAAAATCCATGGCAACTTATAGTTAGGAAAATGGTGAGGTGCTTTCTCTCTTCATCAGCAGCCTTCCTGCAGCATGATCCTCTTGCAAACTCATGATTGTCTCATCATTTGCTGAACTCCCTCATGCTGTCAATAGAATACTTTTACATGACGTCATCAAATTGACTGGGTGATAGTTCATACATTTAAACATATTTTATATTGACCTCATAAAAATCCAGACAATCTATAAAATATTATAAAACACATAACAAAATAAACACTTTGTAACAGTACCATCAGCAGTGACTTGGTCATAGTCCCCCTCCTCTCTCCTCTCTCTCTCTCTCTCTCTCTCTCTCTCTCCCTCTCTCTCTAGATGTATATGTGTAAGATTTTCTATTTAGCCCAAGTTAGGCTCAAACTTCTCATCTTCTATCCTTACTTAGCATTCTAGCTCTTTCAAGTTATTTTTAAAACTACATATTTGATTTTACTTACTATTACTTAAGTTCCCATCTGTGTTTTATAATCAAATGATGTCTTTAGAAAAAGTGAGAGTCTGAAATGTCATGGTGTCCTAACACTGCTAGACTCTCTCTGCGAAGATCACAGGAGAATTTCGTGAGATAGAAAGGAAAACGGGGAAGTCTAACACAATTTAGTGAAGTTTTAGAATTTTAGAAGAGCCCTCCAGAGATTAGGTCAATAACAAAAATAGCGTAAATACACATCTCCATTTCTTAAAAACCAGGATTCGGAGTTGAGGGAATGCACATTTCAGCACGGTGGGCAGACCGCTGCAAAAGTACAGTGCTGAATCTTCTGCCTCTGAGGTTTTGATTTCCAGGGTGAAGGACCAAGT